GGAATTTAGGAATTTAAGAATTTAGGAGTTTGGGAATTTAGGAATTTAGGAATTTAGGAATTTTAATATTTGGGAAGTTCAAGATTGGGGTATGTAAGGATTTCAACGTCATGGATTTGGAAAACTAAAAATTTGGGAATTTAGACATTTAGGGATGTAGGGAGTTAGGAATGCAAAAACTTGGGGTGTAGAAGATACGCGAACGCAAGGGTTTGGGCATATAGGGATTTCACGATTTAAGAATTTGAGAACATGGGTATTTGAGAGTTTAGCAATTTAGATGTCTAGAGTTTTGGGCATGTAGAGATTTGGGGATGTAGGGATTTGGGAATGTAGAGATTTGAAAATGTAGGAATTTGAGGAGGTAGGAATTTGGGGATGTAGAGATTTGGAAATGTAGGGAATTGGAAATGTAGGGATTTGAGGATGTAGGAATATGGAGATGTAGGAATTTGGGGATGTAGAGATTTGAGAATGTAAGGAATTGGGAAAGTAGAGACTTGAAGATGTAGGAATTTGGGAATATAGAAATTTAGGTGTGTCAAGATTTGAGAATATGTATAGGAATTTGGTAATGCAGATATTTGAGAATCTAAGCATTTGGAGGTGTAAAAATTTGCTGTTAATTTGAAAAGAAAATGGTTTCTCTCCATTCTTACCTTCTTTTTCCAACAGCAGACCTTGTACAGACCTCCATACTTTTGACTCATCCTATGTATAATAGGTATTAATTCCATCAAAATGTCTTATCATTTGCACCGAAGCCAGAACGTGTTCAAATTGAGAAATGCTTATCCGAATGATTCAATATAATTGTAATTATGTTTCATACATAATACCTATATCATCCTCTTATCATTTTGCTGAAGATGACATGTTACTGTAACATTCCTTTAGCTCTGAAATATGGAAATTTATAAGACACAAATTTTGGAAGTTGGAGATTTGACAATTTAGAAAGTAAAAATTGCAAAGTAAGGCGTTGTGATTTTTGAAATTTTTGAGCTTTTGAATTAGAAGAAATTGAGATTTGAGAATTTAGGAAGTTGGGATTTTTGAAATTAGAAATGGGAATTTGAGAATTTAGAATGTTAGGATTTTTTAAATTAAACTAGATGGCAATTTGAGAATTTAGGATGATGGGATTTTTGAAATTAGAAGTGTGAAGTTTGAAAATATGGTCAAATGGAATTTTTCAAATTAGAGAAATAGAAATTTGAGAATTTGACACTATTCAAATTTTTGTGTAAGAAGAAATAGATATCTTAGATATTATAATAGCTGGAATTGTGTAATTTTTAGAAATTTGAAAAGTGTGAATTTTGGGAATTTGTAGGAGGTAAATTAAAAAATCTAAGATCTTAGAAAATGTAAACATAGGAATTTGGGCATCGAAGATTTGAAAAGTTAAAAATTAGTATTTTGCTATAAAAATAAAATTAGTATTTTGTGGACACAAATTTGCAATTAGAAAATTGAAGAATTTAGGTGCTTGAAGTATTTAAGAATTCGGAAATTTCATAAATTTCAAAATTCGCAATTTCTAAAATTTCTAAATTCAAAAAATTGTAAATTTCAAAATTCGCGAATTCTAAAATTTTTAAATTCAGAAGACTGTAAATTTAAAATCTCATCAACCAAACTTTTACTTTTACCTAAGTCGCCATTTTGCTCTGTAAAATCCAACATGGCCGCCATTTTATAAATCTCACCGCTGCATACATTTCGTAAACAGTACAGGTAGATAAAAGTTAACGAAACACATCCCTAACCTAACCTAACTCGTTCCAACAACTCTAAAAGAGATTTCCAAAGAATTCTTCGGAAATTTCTGAGAAGACATTGTAGGTTAACAAAAAATCATTAAACTTCTGCCTATCTTCTCCGATAACGTGCAAAGATATGTATTACGAAAAAATCCTATTATGTTTGATTACGAATATCAATAATAGCTCGATTGTACAAATATTCGGGCATAAGTTCATCGGTATGAACGAAAATCTTAAAATGAACAAGTAATGCTCGTATTTCTGTTGATATTTCGCAAAACTCGTGGCCGATCTTTCGTAATGTAAACAACATTTAACGCCAGCAGTAATTTATGAAACATTTCCGTGATAAAGAATCTGGAGAAATATAGAAAAGAAATTATATGACTGATATACTTAAAGTTGAGTTCAAGCTTCAGTTAATAGTTTTGTACACAAGTGAGGTTATGCAACGTACTGCGATCTGTTTATGGATTATGTTACGCAATAATTATTGGAAATATTTGTTGTTTGTAAAAACTTTGACGTTTGTTATTTATTTGGCCGTTTAATTATTTTTTATGTGTATTCAATTTTGATTTTAAAAAATTGTAGAAAAAATTCTGAAGAGCTCGTAATTCTTAGGTTTTATAATTATTAATTTATATTAAAATATTAATTCAAGATTAATTAAAATTATTTTGTAAATATATTAGTTTGTATTAAACTTAATAAAGATTATAATAAAGTTATTACTTATATTAAAATTAATTAAAATTATTATTATATACTAGAATTAATTATGATCATAATAAAATCATCAATTTATGATAAAATTAAATAAAATTACATTAATGTTATTAATTTTGTATTAAACTTAATAGAGATTATAATAAAGTCATCAATTTATATTAAATTGAATAAAAATTATTACTAAATTATTATTATACACTAGAATTAATTGTGAACATAATAAAATCATCAAATTATATTAAAATTAACTAAAATTACATTAATGTGATTAATTTTGTATTAAACTTAATAACAAAATCATGAGTTCATACTGAAATTAATTGAAACTACTTTAAAATCATTAGCTCATAATAAATTTTAATGCAAAATATAATCAATTAGAATTATTAAAAAAATTATTAATTTATACTAAACTTTATAGTCAAATTAAAAATTACTTATAAAAAAAAATGTTTAGACTGTTTGCATATAATTTTGTCGTTTTTAATTAAAGCTATCAAGTTATTTAAAATTAGTCGGCATGACAAACAGGAAAATAATCAGCAACGAAGAATAGTTTTTATTTGGTTATTCTGGTGGGAATCACCTACTCGACGGTTTTATAGTACAAGATATCACACATGTTGCACAATCTAAGAGAAAAATCATTCTTTCGTTCATAAATATTTCTTCAAGTGGAATAGTACTGTCGCTCTATCTATGTACACTTGAGTGTAAATATGACTTCCCTAGGGAAAATGGCAGACAAGAATAAGTTTCTAGAATTTACAATTACAATTAGTGTCATGCTCTATGCTTAATTTACAAAAGGCATTTTACAAATTGATAAACAAAGTTTTAGAAAGTACATGTTTACTTTTAAAAATAAAGTGTTTTATTATGCACTTTGTATTTCAAAATGGTGGTTCTAGTAACTACATCAAAATGTATGTTAACGTTTCTTATAATTTTAGTTTACGATTATTTAGGATGTACCACGACGATATAATACGTAAAAAACAATATACAAGACAATAGTGTGATGTGAAATAATTTATTTATAAAACTAAAAGCATTTTGAAAGCCTCGTTCGTAAATGTATTTTGAAATTTCATATTTTCGCGCGCAATGTCTGAAACAGTACTGCCAGCATCACCTAGCGGTCAACTATACAATTATTCAAACGAAAAATGATGTTTTTTCGTAAAATAAAGTATTTTTATAAGTTATTGATACTGTTAATACACTCTATAAGCAAAATTTTTAATTTACAGATGAATCAAATAAATTAAACGTCAATTATCAAATATATATATTTAATTTAATTCAATGTGCTCCACATTACAATATGTACATACAAATCTAATTAAATCTTCTCTTTTCTACATAGGTACTCTTATACATACGATCCAAGCATATATCTAACAGTAAATACATACTAATTATAATTTATACAAAATACCTTAATTACATTTCAATACTTTGTCTAATACTATCCATCCAATTAATATACAAACACGCTCAGAGTAAACAATTCGAGGAAGACCTTTTATGCAACGATTACAGGGAACTGTTCTATTATACAAATAAATTGTTGAATGTTTAATGTAATGTATTTAAGTAAATTGAAAAAATTTAGTAAAATATATATATGAACAAATTGTTGAATATTTAGTTAAATGTACTTGAATAACTTGTAAAATATTTAGTGAAATGTATTTAAAATATTTGTAAAATGTTTAATAAAATATATTTGAATAAATTGTCAAATATTTAGCAAAATATACTTAATCAAATTGTAAAATATTTAGCAAAATGTATGTAAACAAATTGTCAAATGTTCAGAGAAACATATTTGAAATATTTGTAAAATGTTTAATAAAATGTATTTGAATAATTTGTCAATTATTCATTAAAATATATTTAATCAAATTGTAAAATATTTAGCAAAATGTATATAAACAAATTGTCAAATATTTAGTGAAGTATATTTGAACAAATTGCCAAATGTTTAACAAAATGCATTTGAACTAATTCTCAAATATTTATTAAAATGTGTTTAATCAAATTGCCAAATGTTTAGTAAAATGTTCTTCAACAAATTGTCAAATGTTTAGTGAAACACATTTAAACAAATTGCCAAATATTTAGCAAAATGTATTTGAACAAATTCCTAAATATTTAGCAAAACGTATTTCAACAAATTCCTAAATATTTAGCAAAATATATTTGAACAAATTCTCAAATATTTAGTAGAATATATCTGAACAAATGGTAAAAAACGTACTGAAATGTTTTTGAACAAATTCCCAAATATTCAATAAAATATATAAAAAAAATTATAAATTTAGTGAAGTATTGTTCCAAGTTCCAATTGCCTGTGGAGGCCTCTCGCGGTGAAAATAAAAAACTCTGAAAACTTATTTCTGAAGTACAACAAGCCTGAACAAATTCACTGTTCCCAAGGTTGCAAGGTCCCGTTTTTGTCGCAACCCGCAGAATCTAGCACAACCAATTACGGCGGTTTATGGTAACCGGATCGTCGTGACCGGTACTCGATTTCCATTCGATTATGTCACGAGCTGAAGAAATTCGATTTTACTATAAGCATCATCCGATATTTCTCGAGAGTCTGCCAGCTCTGCTCGTTTGCGCGACACCTTTCGAGAAACGAAGCTTTAGCACATTTTTATAACCTTGGATGAACATGCGAGGTCTCAGATGAACCTTCTCGCGAGGAGTATGCCGATTACGGAGGCTAAGGTTATTTCAGAATTTTGGAGGGCGGACGCTTTTGAGGCGATGATGTTCGATTGTGGAGAAAAGGTGCGTGGGCTGGTGGTGGTCGGAGGTGGATTCATAGAGCATGCGGTGCCTTCTATGGCGTTTTTTGTGGAACCGGTGAGAATTCGGAAGTTGTAGTCTTCGGGGTCCAGACGGGAGTACATGAACGTGGGGAGGCGGTCCGAGAGAACCCATATACTGCCATTTCGATCAACCTGAAATGAAAAATAAAATGGTGATTGTATGTTGGCAAAATAAATGTTAAATGGCAGGGATTTAATTAAGAGTAGAACTAGCAATAGATTTAGGGAATTTGGAAGTGATGGATTAGGGAGTTTGGGATTAGGGATTTTGGGCTTTAGGGAATTTGGAATTTAAAGAATTGGGTATGGAGGAAGTTGAGAATTTGGAAATTTGGAAAATTGAATTTAAGGTTTTTAAATTTTAGAAATTTTTGAGTGTGGGAACTGGGGTTTTGGGAATTTGGAAATTTGGGAATCTGGGAATTAAGAATTTGGGGAATTTAAAAATTTGGGAATATGAGAACTAACAATTTAGGGAATTTAGAGCTTTGGGAATTTGGAATTTGGAGAATTTGGAAATTAAGAATTCAAGGAAATTAGGGACTTGGGAATTTAGAAATTTGGAGAATTTGGAATTTGAAGAATTTGGAATTTGAAGAATTTGGAATTTGAAGAATTTGGAATTTGAAGAATTTGGAATTTGAAGAATTTGGAATTTGAAGAATTTGGAATTTGAAGAATTTGGAATTTGAAGAATTTGGAATTTGAAGAATTTGGAATTTGAAGAATTTGGAATTTGAAGAATTTGGAATTTGAAGAATTTGGAATTTGAAGAATTTGGAATTTGAAGAATTTGGAATTTGAAGAATTTGGAATTTGAAGAATTTGGAATTTGAAGAATTTGGAATTTGAAGAATTTGGAATTTGAAGAATTTGGAATTTGAAGAATTTGGAATTTGAAGAATTTGGAATTTGAAGAATTTGGAATTTGAAGAATTTGGAATTTGAAGAATTTGGAATTTGAAGAATTTGAAATTTGGAGAATTTGGAATTTGGAGAATTAGGAATTTGGAGAATTTGGAATTTGGAGAATTAGGAATTTGGAGAATTTGGAATTTGGAGAATTAGGAATTTGGAGAATTTGGAATTTGGAGAATTAGGAATTTGGAGAATTTGGAATTTGGAGAATTTGGAATTTGAAGAATTTGGAATTTGAAGAATGTGGAATTTGGAGAATTTGGAATTTAGAGAAATTATGATTTAAAAAATTTTAAATTTAAGAAATATGAAATTTAAAAAACCAAGAATTTAGAGAATTACAGAAATATCTAAATCCTCAGTTTAAAAATGTAGTTTCAAAATTTTTGAATTTACAATTGTGAAGTACAGCCTTAACCTTCAAATCTTACCTTCAAATCATTAGGAAATACCATAGTAATGTTGTCCATATAAATAAGACCTTGTTGCTGCATCATAAACATGTTCTGTGGCCTCCAACAAGCTATAGCGTTTTTGTTTGTCAATGCATAAAATAAAACACCTGTGATTGGGTCCAAAAAGCTGACACTACTTTGACCATTTAATCCTCTAGATCCTAGAGAGTGGAACTCGTGGAAGTTTTCTGAAACCATAAACAATTAAAAATGAAATAAAATGTAAGGATTACTGGAAAACGAAAGTGTTGAAGCTAGGAGGGCACTGGTGTGCAAAACAAATATGGCGGATAAGAGTGTGCAAAATAAATATGGCGGACATTAGTGTACAAAATAAATATGGCGGACATAAGTGTACAAAATAAATATGGCGGACACTAACGTACAAAATAAGTAAATATACATTTAAATATGAACACTTTAAATAATAAATTAAATGCGCACAAGAAAATTTACGAATAAAGCTTGCAAGGAATAATTAAAATGCTATTTAACATTATTTCTACGTTTTTATTTATTATAAATAAGTAGTGAGTCATTTGTGTGCTACACGTCGGCCATTTTTATTAGTTCAGACACTAAGCATAGGTGTCGCATGTTAAACTTTGACTCTGAATACTAACCAAATTATTATTTAAGTAGTGAAAGAAAGTTATTTATTATTTAAGTAATGAATGTAACAATTTTTATTAGGTTTTTTGTGTATGATACTACATTATGTAATAAAAGAAGTTTACCTGAGGAAGTAGCACGTTGAGGGTCTCTAAGTAGCTTTGTGCTAACTGAAAACTCCATGCTACTGGAGAGTGGATGAAAGTACATGGTGCTGTATCCATCGCCTGTGGGTGCAAGACTCATACCGAACAAGCCATCTGTCCATTGGAATGAGATTCCTGATACATTGAACTCTCCACCCTTTGAAAATTGTAAAAGAAGACAAAATTGTACTGTAATATTTGATAAATTGTATCTATATAATCTATATATACAGGGTGTCTGTTCAAATGATCAATGATCAAACTCTAATTTGATGAAACTCCAACCCATCACTCACGTCTGCAAATACAGGGCCTCTAAAATCCAGCCCACCCTTATATTTCGGAAACGGTTTTAGATACGGAAAAATGTTTCAGACAAAAGTTGTAGGATATCAAGAATACAAGATGGCGGCAGCAATTTGACCTTGGATCGTTTGGAGGTCGAACTTCAGTTTCTTAAATAGAACCCCCATTTTTTATTGCATATTCTTGTAGCCCCGAGACGTTTTCAAAACACTACCTATGTTTGTTTTTTGTGCAAGTTCCCAAAATATGAAGTAGCTTCAAAATTGACATATCGTCAGCATTACCCAAGGTGTACGACGAAGGTTGCACGATCAGATTTACGCCACTTATGTGTCAACTTTGAAGCTTCATATCTTGGGAACTTGCACAAAAAACAAACATAGATAATGTTTTGAAAACGTCTCGGGGCTACAAGAATATGCAATAAAAAATGGGGGTTCTATTTAAGAAACTGAAGTTCGACCTCCAAACGATCCAAGGTCAAATTGCTGCCGCCATCTTGTATTCTTGATATCCTACAACTTTTGTCTGAAACATTTTTCCCACAACGTTTGTCTCAAACATTTTTCCATATTTGATGCCGTTTCTGAAATATAGGGGTGGGGTAGGATTTCAGAGAGATTCTTTTATAAACATTTATAACTAAAATAACCTGAGGATCAGGATGGAAGAAATGGTGCTTGACAAGCCATGATTTGTCCATCTTCCACGAGTAAACCACAAGACCAGGTCCGCCCAAATCACCCAGATAGGCATAAGAGTCTTCACAAGAATAATCTTCGACTGCGATGTTAGCGAACAGTGAATCAGGTGTTCTTTGATGATCCGGAATAACGAATTTTCGCATCAATTTGTCATTCTTTAAGTCGTATACGAGTAACGCTGGTGGTGATTGCTGTTCGGGGCTATCTAAGATGTCGGTGAATCCGGTATCCAACACCCATAATCTGTCGCAACGGTCTGCACGGATTCGAAACGTTGAAATGATCTCGGGAACGCTGCGATCTTTGTATTGGTGCGCCTCCCATGAAGGGTAAGGTATTAATGTGGGAGATTCACGAGTATCTGAAACAGATGAGGGAATAGAATTCTTTACATTAACATCGCTAATATTGGGATAGAAATGTAATTTATAAACCATTTCAAATTTCACTAATTTTCAAATTCGTAAATTGTTGAATTACAAGATTGATAAATTCCCAAATTTCAAAATTACGAAATTCTCAAATACTCAAATCTCCTAATTCTACAAGTGGGATTCTTACATTTCCAAATTTTTAACTTCTAAATTTCACAAATTCCCAAATTGTCAAATTTTATGATTCTCAAACTCCAAAATTCTGAAATTCCACAACTCTCAAACTCCAAAATTCTCAAATTCCACAATTTTCAAATTCCAAACTTCTCAAACTCCAAAATTCTCAAATTCCACAATTCTCAAATTCCAAACTTCTCAAACTCCAAAATTCTCAAATTCCAAACTTCTCAAATTCCACAACTCTCAAATTCCAAAGTTCTCAAACTCCAAAATTCTCAAATTCCACAATTTTCAAATTCCAAACTTCTCAAACTCCAAAATTCTCAAATTCCACAATTTTCAAATTCCAAACTTCTCAAACTCCAAAATTCTCAAATTCCACAATTTTCAAATTCCAAACTTCTCAAACTCCAAAATTCTCAAATTCCACAATTTTCAAATTCCAAACTTCTCAAACTCCAAAATTCTCAAATTCCACAATTTTCAAATTCCAAACTTCTCAAACTCCAAAATTCTCAAATTCCACAATTTTCAAATTCCAAACTTCTCAAACTCCAAAATTCTCAAATTCCACAATTCTCAAATTCCACAATTCTCAAATTCCAAACTTTTCAAATTCCAGAATTCTCAAATTCCAAACTTCTCGAATTCCCAAACTTCTAAATCCTCAAATCCTCAAATCCTCAAATCTTGAAGCCTCTAAATCCTTAAATCTCCAAATCCTCAAATCTCTAAATCCTTAAATTTCCAAATCCCCAAATTCTCACATTTCTAAATCCCCAAATTTCCAAAGTTAAAAATCCCTAAGTTTCAAATTTCCCAAATTCTCAAATCCCCAAATTCCCAAGTACATATTTAGCAATCGAATTATGTTTAATTCGATTATACTTCGATTATACCCGAATACCTATACAATACGATAAAATATCGATAGCTATAGTCTTTACGTAATACGTTGCTAGTTGTTAATCGACCATATCGTACATAGACTTTCGAAAGTCACGGAACTAATCGTGAGTGTAAAATCTAGTTTGAGAACAGGAAACCACAAAAGTTGTGGGTAGATATTAGATACGTGTAATTTACCGGAGAGAATAATAATAACTTTCAACCGGAAATGCTAATAAAATGAATTTCAAGAAATATTTGATTATATGAATGTACTTATATGTATATACATATACAAATGCACAGTAAATATATAATTGCATACTATGTACCATTTAAGAAGTAGAGTGTGTAAAGATACTTTTTTTTAAGTGTAGAACAGAACAATGCACAAAGCGATGGCGTAAAAGACTTGTAACCTTGCGACTTTGGAACAATTTGAGATACGTGGATATGTACGCAATATTCTGACCGCAGGTAAAAAGTGTATCATTTCTTATTGTTTGGAAGTGAAATCGTGTGCTGGAAATTGTTTTTACTTTGTGAAATGAATATTAGATTCAAACTGAATCTGTTTGGGCTGATGATGAATTTAAGGTTTTAGTGTGGGAGTATGTGGGGTTTAGGATGAAATTTTTGAGATGTGAAGATTTAGGAATTTAGGACCTTTGGGAATATTTGAGAATTTTCGAACTTGGGGATTTGGGGATTAAGAAATTTTGAATTTGGGAATTTTAAAATTTGGGAAGTTCTTAATTTGGAAATCTGAGGATGTGGAAATAAAAGTGTTTAGGAATTTGAGGATATGGGGATTTGGGGATATGGGGATTTGGGGATATGGGGATTTGAGGATATGGGGATTTGGGGATATGGGGATATGGGGATTTGAGGATATGGGGATTTAGGGATATGGGAATTTGGGAAGATGGGAATTTGGGATTTGAGGATATGAGGATTTAAGAATATGGGGATTTAGGGATATGGGAATTTGGGAATATGGGGATTTGGGAATATGGGGATTTGAAAATATGGGGATTTGGGAATATGGGGATTTGGAAATCTGGGGATTTGGGAATATGGGGATTTGGGAATCTGGGGATTTAGGAATATGGGGATTTGGGAATCTGGGGATTTGGGAATATGGGGATTTGGAGATAAGGGGATTTGGAGATAAGGGGATTTGGAGATAAGGGGATTTAGGAATATGGGAATTTGGGAAGATGGGGATTTGAGGATATACGGATTTGGAGATATGGGGATTTGGGAATATGGGGATATGGGGATATAAGGATTTGGGGATTTAGAAATTTGAGAAGTTTAGAATTTGGGAATTTGGAAATTTGGGGATTTTTGGAACTTAAGAATTTGAGAATTTTGGAATTTTGGAATTTTTAAATTTGAAAACTTGCAGATTTAGAATTGGAGCATTTGGAGAATTTAAAATTTGGAAATTTTTCGATTTGCATATTTAAAACATTGGGAATTTGAACATTTATGAATGTAGTAATTTTGGAATTTGAAGATTCATGCATTTGGAAATATTGAAACTCGTAAATTTGAGAATCGACAAAAATAATTAAAAAAAATATAAATTTTTCAAGATTGACAATTCACAATTTGAAAGAAGAGATTATAGAACAATATTAAAAAAAATACAGAACTGTGAAAACTTGAAAATTTACAAGTTTGTACTAATTATGAAGTTTATATGTTGCGTTTAAAAAGCGTCTCATGCATACTGACCATTAATATAAAAATAGTTTAAACTAGCAGCAACACCGAGTCTCCATCTCGGAACAGTAACAAAAATCCTATCATTAGTGATTTCAAGTCCAAGAGGAAGATTATCTTCCTGTTTGTATCCGGGGAAGAGTAGTTTAGTTTCGTTGTTTGGCCACTCGTATTCTAGTTGTTTCCATTGAAAAGCTACCCTGAGCTTGTCATCGGCGACGATAATTTCCCCAAGACAAAACCAAAGAAAAATGTTTAGAAAAAGTGAAGTCGTTCTGGACTGCATTTTTGTTTGATTTTTATCTTGTTTTCGTTGTTGGAATGTTGACGCTGCAAAAATATTATTTAATTATTAGTTATTGTTATATTAAAGTGTCATTTAATTAATATATTTGGTTGTATTAATATATTTAATAAATATGACTGTTACAGTTTGTTAATGTCTTTAATATTTAATTAATATATTAGTGACGTTATACATTTAGTAACAATATTAATATATTTAATAAACATTATTTTTATAGTTTATTAATGACATTGATATTTTACTAATATATTAATAACATTATACATTTAGTAACAATATTAATATATTTATTAAACATTACTTTTATAGTTTACTAATGACATTGATATTTTATTAATATATTAATAACATTATACATTTAGTAACAATATTAATATATTTAGTAAACATTATTTTTATAGTTTACTAATGACATTCATAGTTTATTGATATATTAATAACATTATACATAGAACATTAATGTATGTATTACTAATATTATAATTTATTAATATATTTAATAAACATGAATGAAATATAATTATGTAATTATAACTCACTCTGTGTATTTAACACATATATTCAAACGATAATATTATTTATTTATTATTATTATTTATTATTATCGTTATCATTATTATGTATTATTATTATCATTTATTTATTATTATTATTATTACTATTTATTATATGTATTAATAAATAATATTATTGTTCAATATTTTCATTTCACTACTTCATAATTTAAGCTTTAATAATCTGCACTATTATTTAAATTTTCACATTGTTCAATATTTTTATCAAAACTTTTAATAATGTTTGTGTATTATCTAAATTATATATATTTACTAGTTATTATGTTTGACATTTTCATGTTTGTCATTAATTATTCTAATCTTTATATTATCTAAACATTCTTGTACAAAATTTACTATTCAAACAATATTCAATAATTGCAAATGTACAATTTATAAATTTTAAATGTGCAGTGAGTGAACATTAAAATCTACGTCCAAAGCAAGTGAAAACAAGCAGTTTTCTCCTAATTAATGTTAATAACAGTTTTACTTCGAGTTCCATTTTATGACGAAGTGGAATATCATCGAGAGATCCATAACCATAATCTACAGCCACATTCGCAACGTGCATTTGTAATGGAATGCATAAGTAATCAGCCATCGACATTTTCAATCTGATTATCGTGAATTTTAATAGTTCGATATTTTTCTCATAAAAGTACATTCAAAGATGATTTGATTCGAAGGATTTTCAGTTAGTCAGCAGTTTAACAGCTGCAAGTCAGCGATTTAAATAGGGATAAAATAAACTCTAATCATAGAATCATTCTTTGTTACATGATATGTTTTAAATAAAACTTGTTTAACAGATGCATATACACAATTCTATTGTAATAATCTGTGAAGTATGATCGTATGCAAATCACTTCCTTGATCTTTGCATTCATTTAACTGTGTAAATACGATTCGATACAACGTCCTTGATGAAGCTACGTAAATGATCATGATTTAAACATATGCGAACTGAAATAGGACTTCCTAGTAACCGAGAATTGTGAATTCTTCAAAATACTAAATAGTTCACTTTGCGGAAACGTCTTATTTCCGGTAGGTGACTCATTTTGGTTAGGAACGTATTCTAACCTGTGTCGTTATGGAAAATTGTGTGAAATGTTATACTGCTCTTAAAATTATACCATCTTTGCTTATTTGAAGTATATTTCTTGAATTTGGTTAAAAATTGATTGGAGTATTGTATTGAAAGGTGAAAGGAAATTGGAGATGAAAAACAAAATGGAGGACGAAAGGAGGAATTTCTTAAATATATGATGGAAGATAAGTTTTATTTTTTACTAGGTTGTAGTCTCAAGAGGAACAATTATTGGACAGTAGGAAAATTTAGAATGATAGGAATTTAATGTGTTTTTCAATTTTTTTATAATTTTTGGAAATTGCAAGTTTGATAATTTGGAGTGGCTCATGAGCGCCATTTGCAATTTGTCAAATAGTAATGTCAAATAGTATTTGTCAAACAGTCGAATAGTAATTATTATAAGTTCTTGTATTATTTTTGGTACTATTTATATTAATTTTATATTATTGTATTTTGTATTAATTTTGTATTATTTCAATTTGTATTAATTTTGTACTATTTCAATTTCTATTAATTTTTCACTGTTTCAATTTGTATGAATTTTATACTATTTCAATTTGTACTAATTTTGTACTATTTCAATTTCTATTAATTTTACACTATTTCAATCTGTATGAATTTTGTATTATTTCAATTTGTACTAATTTTGTATTATTTCAATTTCTATTAATTTTATACTATTCTAATTTGTATTAACTCTACACTATTCAATTACATAAAACAAATTTTCTACTATTATATATTAGTACAATTTTTCCAAACATCAGTTCATAAAAGAATTTATAGTATCAGTAAATATTTCTCACTTTACAAACTCTGACTAAGCGCCATTATTATTGAAAAATACTTACATAAGCGAAACTCGATATCATTCAAAAAATTGTTTTTCCCAAATAATCATTTTTCCCCAATAACAAATTAGTCATTGCATCGTTAACAATTAACATACGAACGTGTATGAATTTCGTCGTATTAAACATGCTTCCACGAATGGCAAGCTTTTGTAATCATATTGTTTCGTGTTATTCAGTTTTCATATGATCGTTAAACATCTTTTTACAAAAGAAACACAGACAACAGAATAAATTTTCATTATTGAATTATCATACTTTGTTCTTCACAAAAAAGTTGCTTCTAATGCTGTACGACAGTTGTGAATACAATCATTCGACAATAATTTATATTCAGACGTATTCATAAATAGCGAAGGTAATGTTTATTCATTATTAGGTTAGGGATTAAAGATAGTGAGCGCAATGCGATATAATTATTTAATTATCCGATAAACAAGAGGTTAGTGCGAGATAACCTTGTTCGTGCTGAATAAAAACATGCATGTTGAACACCTCAGAACTTCAGTAAAACTGAAGTAAAATCCTCTAACATATATTCAAAACTATATTATTCATTTATTTGTGTATCAAAATTAACAATTAACAATTAAAATTATTAATTTTAATATTCGCAACTGGCGTGGGGAACGAGAACTAATTTTGGCGGGAACTTTACCACTTTCAAATGTTATTAGCTTAAGCTTTTAAAATACATAATAAATAACATACAATAATTAACAAATAAAATACGGAACCACGTATGAAGTACAATAGAAAGCAAATAAGTACAAAATAGAATGAAAATGCCAGTAATTGTGTTCCTGTACAAAAAAGTAACGTGCTTGAAATATTTGAAGAGATCTCGTTACATAAATAAGCTATTATAAATCGAAATTAAGTAGGAAGTGTTTAAATGAAATCCGATGCGTGAGAGTTTTAAAATGGCGGGTATTTGCTAATGCTTGGTCAACGGAGAAAGAAATCTTCCGTGAAATTTGATGCAACACGGTGTGACGTAACGTCACACCAGAGGTGCAAGAGAATTTCTCAACCAATTGTTAGAATCCGGTATCAGGTGAATCGGAATTGTAACTAGCACCTATGGACGAGCACAAATTAATTCGTTTTCACAACGGAATACAATGTTCAGCCTCAATTGCGAATTGAACAAATTAATTGCTGTGTAATTAAGTATAATTAATTATATATATTAATTGATGGATGTAATTGGATATACTTAGTTATATCTGTTAATTAGGATGCTTAGTTGATCTTTCTTAGTTGTATACTTCAATTAATATTTATAGATCAAACTTTAATTAAATATATTAATTAGTGATTATATTTTTGAGATTATTTAATGGTAATTAATATATTTAATTAATTCAGTTTAATTATTTAAAGCAATTAATTTAATAAATCTAGTTTAATTATGATGTTGAATCAACCTGTATAATTAAAGTTAATCAATTGAGATTGTTTAATATACATTAATTCCTTCATGTATATTTAATCAATTTAATTTAACTAATTAACTTAATATAATCAATCAATGTATTTATTAAGTCAATTTAATTTAACTAATCAACTTAATACAATCAATCAATGTATTTATTCAATCAATTTAATTTAACTAATCAACTTAATATAATCAATCAATATATTTATTCAATCAATTTAATTTAACTAATCAATTTAATACAATCAATCAATATATTTATTCAATCAATTTAATTTAACTAATCAATTTAATATAATCATACAATATGTTTATTCAATCAATTTAATTTAACTAATCAAGTTATTATAATCAATCAATGTATTTGTTCAATCAATTTAATTTAACTAATCGATGGAATTTAGTAAATTCGTTTAAATTAATTTTCATATTTAACAGACGTGTGTAATTAGAAATAAGTAAGATTTTTTCTTCCCATAATGACACCTGTATAGCGTTAGCAAAATTCCCCAAATACATTATCTCGCAGTGTAATACGCTATAAATTATTACGTACGTATGCAGATGGGGTCAATGATAAATTGCAAGTATAGTGGTCTGCTACTCAAAACCGCTTTACAATTGAGACCATAAACAATGACATATGTAACAGTTATTTTTTAAGTAATATAACTGTATCTCGTATGAATGATTTTCAAATAATTTTTATATTTTATTCTGCTGTGAAATTGTTAACAACATAAATTCAACATAAGTTCAACATAAATTCAACTAGAAATCAACATATAAAGATACTCATAGCAACGTACGAAAGTCGATAAATATTTGAAGAGCAATAATAATGTAAATTTTAAATGTTAACGAGCTTTATAAATTATTAATTCAGCATGAAGTTAGATTAGTATTATGTTACTTTCATATGGACACCTGATATGAACATTGTAACTTCTGTTACGGTGTTTTGCAATTACAATATAGTTTATACTGTAATATAGATACTGTAACAGGTTATACTATAATAAAAGTACTACAATATAGTTTATAAGATAGTATACGTACTGTAATATGGTTACGTATTTAAAGAAAATAACGTTTTCCTTGGTCTACAAACCATGGTCCATTATAATTAGAACTATTTTAAATTGCTAAAAATCAAGCACTGTAACTTGAAATTTTCTGGCTTCTGCTTCTAAAAATGTTATATTTCAAGAATATTATCTTTTACATTTATTAAACTTGTTGCATATATTGTTAATAAAATTACACAATAAAATACCATTATATTCAAATTTATTGAAGATGAATATTAACCAATAAATTTTTGTGAAGATTAATAACCAGTAAATTTTTTTAAAATAATTAACTTGCTATTTTCTTCTTCATAAGTACTTTACAAAATGTATATAAACAATAGAAGTTTACAATAATACTTTAAAGTTATATCTTCATTTTTTTCTAATTAAGTATTTTCAATATTGGCATGCACGTTAAATGGCGGGAAATCCCACACTTCAAATTAATAATTCATCAAAAGTACACGTGCTGAACAAATTTCATTCTCACAAAAAATTAAACAGACAAAGAAATGAAACATCCTTTATAAATTTACATAGACTTCTATATAACAATATCTTTCATAAATCACTAATAAATATTATCACTAATAAATTTCAGCACATTGTAAATCAACCATAAGCCTCTCTCTAAAATAACAAGCGCTAAAACAATAAAAAGAATACTTGTCTACTAATGTAGACAAACAAAATACAGTAAAAAAATAAATTTCCTATAAACAGCTTTACTATTCACATCAAGTGTCCATATTATTTTATTTCGCAAGACCTCTAGAATTAACACTAAACCTACCGGCACTCAATCAAAATTCAACGAACATAAAACACATTAATTCTCGACGAGAATGAAAAGCATCCAAAAAATACTTGGTAGATTTGGTGTTAACCACTGTCCGAAATAACCAAACGAATCACTGTATTTACCCGTGAGCCTCGTGAAATGACAGCGAGCTACCGTCTCGAATGAGAACACACGACAAACTGAGAATTCGTCGGAGAAACGAAAGACGTTCTCCTCTGGCGGTACCGTTTGGATACCGTTCAAGGCACCCCGAGTACCGATCCGCTCGGCAGACCAGTTAAAACACCGGTGATTCGTCGCGTTCCCCGCTAACCGTGACGTTGTTACGTAGTGAAATGGAACGACAAAGGTAGTACACCGGATTGTTCAAAAAGTTCCAGGAATTCTTCCTTCCATGCTCGGGTCATTACTCTTGCGTCTTATGCCATCGAGCACGGAATTTGTCCGCACGTAAGTTTCATTGATCCTTCGATATTTCGCAATATTTCGCATAACGTGTCGCGCATTCATAATACGCGCTATGAATCGAATACAGATTGTCGTGATGAAAATGTACATGCAGAGGATACCGTGCGAATCGCGTGCTAACTTACAATCTTTGTTATACGAGTTAGAAGTATCCTTGTAATATGTAATTTTTTAGGAAAATTTTGTATACTAATTGTAAGTTTTAGCGCTTTAAAATGTAGGAAGTTTCTTTTTTTAGAAGGCTCTTTGCTTATTTTTGTCACGGTGTTGATATTAACACAGTGTCACGTGAGGAATTTGATAAGATGGCGGGTGCTAATATTTGGTAAGATGGCGGGTGCTAATATTTGGTAAGATGGCGGGTGCGATGTGAACTGCCGTTGGTTCACATGTCAACTTACCACAACACTCATCAGAACCTTCGTATCATATAGTTTATAGAACAATTACATGCTTATGGAAGTAACTCTATAATATGTAATTTTTCAAGATAATTTTTGACGCTCTTCAAGCTTTAATTTTCATAGAAAATGTGAGAAATCAAGTTTGAGGATACTAATAGCTGCTAAGATGACGGGTGCGATGTGAACTGCCGTTGGTTCACATGTCAACTTACCACAACACTCATCAGAACCTTCATATCATATAGTTTATAGAGCAATTACATGCTTATGGAAGTAACTCTATAATATATAATTTGTCAAGATAATTTTGTACACATTTGAAGCTTTAGTTTCCATAGATAGGGAAATCTCCATATAACTGTGTTTTCTCCAAAAATGCAGTTATATCTCTTGAACGAAATTGTATTATGAGACTCATTACTTGTTTTTATTATGAGACTCATTACTTATTTTCGTTACGAGACTCATTTACTCGTAATTTTTATGAGACTCATCACTTGTTTTCATAATGAGACTCATTGCTCGTGATTTTTACGAAGCCGTTTGAGGATCTCTGAGGTAAGATGGCGGACGGATGCGATGTGAACTGCATTGGTTCACATGTCAACGACGTATACAGCGTTTCACACTTGACAACTTATCTCACTAATCACCTCACTTTCTCTTGTGGCTATCAAAAACGGGGAGTAGTATACTTGAAACCTTGATTAACATGAAACAGTTATTACAGAGTTATTGGTCTAATAAATATAGGGAAACTATGAGATGTTTTGATGAATATAACTGTCTTTGTTGTTGTAATAAGCATACAGTAATTTATCTGTTTTTCTCATAAGCATAGAAAAACTTACATTTATTTTTCTAATAAATTTAGAGAAACTTACCTTTGCTTCTTGTAATAAATATAGAGAAACTTATCTTTATTTCTCTGATAAATGCAGAGAAACTTAGCTTTACTTAAATATATAGAAACTTACCTTTGTTGTTACAATAAATATAGAGTAATTTACTGTTTCTTATTCTGATAAACATTGAGAAACTTGCCCTTGTTATTCTGATAAAAATATAAAGACTGATCTTTGTTTTTCACATAAATATATGGTAACATATCTATTCCGTTCAGCTAATTATAGAGTAATCTATCATGAAAACACAAAATAATCAAAAACAAATTGAACTTCACCTCATTCGCTAGAAAGTAAAGAATAGTTTTTTCTCCTCATTCTACACCACTCTTCTCTTACAAGAAAGTGTTCGTGATCAAATTATCAAGCTTCTGTGTCACAAACTTGTCCTAACAAACCTAACCTCTACTCTTCAAAATCAAATCTTTGTGCTAAATATTTTCTAAAAGCTACAATATTTTTGACATAGGTACAATTATAACAAAAGTTGATTATTCTCTTAAGAACACTTCGCTTAAATATATTTGTATTATAATTAAAATAGAAATTACAATATTGTTTATAAATGTTATTAGCTATATCTGATAGTTTTTAAGAATAAACTTTCTAGACGTTCAAACACGTAATACAATAAATTAATAGAAAAAAAGGTTAAAATTGATGAACATGCTCACCCCGCAACAATAAGATGTTGCGAAACATGTCAGAAGACACGACGCGGTGTATTTCTCACGGCTAACGAACAGGATAAACAAGTAATATAAAACGGAGCACAAAGTGTGGAAGAAAATTTAATTGTAAGCTGATTTATCTGTAAGTTGGTTCACTTCCCTTTGACGTAAATTTCAAGTGAAAGTTGTTAGAACGCTGCACCCAAGATTGTATGCAAAATGTCTACTGACGATTGTTCTTCTTCGTGAGATTCTCTGTTGTTTGTATTTCGGTCAGACATTGATTTATGCTATAGGATGTCTCGCAGACGTGTGTTTACTTAGGAATTTGCAGTAACTTCAATAAAACAATTTTACAATAATTGTAAATAAACAGTTGACAATAAAATTAGAAAAATACATTTTGGTAAATTATACTATTGTATGTTTATATAAGGAAATTGCACTAACATCAAAATGTGTTATTGTAGAATTGTTTTATTTTTTATTACTACAAAAATTTTTGTAATAACATAATTTTAATTCTGAAGAAACAATTTTGTAAAAATAACTTTCTAGTTAGGTTTAATAATTAACTTAATAGTCAACTATTAAGAAAGTAATTTACAACAAATGAAAAATAATATAAACTAATTAAATGACTCATTGCCTCATAAATCAATAAAATATTTTCCACAATAATTTTATTATTTCAAATCTGAGATTACCTAACCTAAAACCTTCCTCATGAATCAAACATTTCTCTCAATTTTCCAATATTATAAATAGCTGGAAACGAGGTAACATTTGTCGAACAATAAACTCGGAGCATCAGATGCCTCTTCAGGCAGCATCCATTTTTATAGCCTTTTCTATCATGCAATCGTAGTAGAACCGCTCCTCTGTTTCTCTTTTAACAGGTTTGACTTTAACCATCGTGTCGAGCTAGCTGTTGCACGATTTCGAGGTCGATTGGATAGTCCGTATTATGCAGCCATACTTTCACTTTCATGATCGTGTGACGGTTTTGCATGAAAACGTGGAATGTGCGGTTGCACCGAGCTTTAACTCCGTTAAGAGAACCTTTTGTTGCCATTACAATGATTACAGTCGTTACACCGACCAAGGCTCGTTAAGCCGTAATTAATTTCGTTATTATCGCAGTCGCTATGAAAATTCCGTTAGGATTTTATAAATGCTATTTTATGTGAAATATTATCAAGGACACATGTGGACCTAAATGCATAAACTGTATAAAATTTGTTCACTTGTGTAATGTTCACAAGTTTCATAATGTCAGGTAAGTTTTTTGATGATGAACAAGTTTTTGCGTTTATTATGTAACGTTTAGGATACATTTAGAATTTAATGTCAGAAGATCATGACGGCCACTGGTCTACCTTTGACCACTAGGAAAGTCTTACGCACAAAAACCACGTGTGTAATCTTTCTGGCAAAGGTAATATAACATAGTAAAGGTAATATCCAAGTATTGAAATAATAAATTCATAGAGAAGTACATAAACAACGGTCGAAAGTCAATTTACAAGAATTGACTCCCATGATGTCTTAACTGTGGATCACATGATCACATGCACACATCGAACTGTGGTGTGTTCGAATGATTTCTAGCGAATGATCATTATAAAAATTTATGGTTCCATTCCGAAGTACATTTTAGCTACTGTGGGAATTCTTTGTAATTTCTTGTGGGAATTTCTTGTGCTAAACTGGGAAGCTAAACAACGCGTGACAATACACTGCGTGGCTAAACAACGCGTGGCAATACACTGCGTGGCTAAACAACGCGTGGCAATATATTGCATGATTAAACGCATGACAATAAACTGCCTAAACAACGTATAACAATACGTACCTAAACAACGTGTCACAATATAACTTTACAACACCTCACAGTATATTGCATAACGCAATGAATGACAGTGACGGCGATATAACATGTGGCTACAGAATGCCAGTAATTAGAAAGGCCGAGACATTATGCAAACCTCGCGTGCCAAATTATCGGTCTACTTTTACTCAACAGAAAATAGTAGACCAGTTTCTACTACAACCACGTATTTGTCAAATATGCAATATATACGGAGAGAAGGATTTCAATAATGCATTCTGCATTCAGTCATTTCATGTAAACAGGTTAATCGGCCATTCGTTATGTTTTCACTTGGAGTTTCTTTTCAAAGTTCAGCCACCATCGTTCCACTCACCTATTCACCTTTAGATCTGCGTTACTGATCCACCGTAACTTTATCTACGTACTCGCGTGTGTATTCCTTGGGTTCAGGAGACTTTTCTCACAGCAAATTACCAACGGGTTAATGATACTGAGTTCAAAGAAAGATCAATTAAAGATCAATCAAGGATTGTATTATCAAAAATTCATTGTTTTAAATTTAAGTTTGAAAGCAACAAAAATTTGCTTTGAAAATATTGATTATATTAAATATTAAAATGTGAAAAGTTTTCAAGTAGTAAAACTTTTTTTGAACCCTCTTTCCAACACGTTATAAATGTCTGGACGCACCAGGTGCGTCACGCCATGTTAACACAGTGATTCTCAAACTTTTAGGTTCGTTACATTAGAATGTTTTATTACTATTATTTATCTGGCAATTTTATTAATTACATAATTCGGTAATTAAGTGTGAATGATACACAGAACGATTGTTCACTTGCAACCAATTCATTTAGTTTCCATTTTGTCTTCTTCATCATGTGTGAATATAAGAACTGATAAGTGGGAAGAAGAAATAGTATAAAAAACGCTTTCTATCTATGAAAATAGTATTTCTATAAAAACCAGTGCTCATAAATATAGATAAGAACATTATTATAATTATACACAGTCATTTTGGTAAACAAAAACTTCGTTTTTTCAGAAATTTAATTTTTAGACGCAGGCTTACAGAATATTTGATAAAGTGTAATTTACGTTTAGCAATCAGGATCTAAAATCGACAAGGAAATGTTTGGAGGTAAAAACTAAAAATAA